TTTTTTTTTTTTTTTTTTGCATAATATTTTTTATAATATTTTTAAATTTTTACCCCGTTTATTATTTTTTACCTACTTTGTGTAAACCTCTGCTGTATAGCACAGTGGTGGGTTTGATTTCCAGGAACTGTGTGTTTTGAATGCAGTGTGTGTCTTTTTGAATAATAAAAAATAAAAATTGGATTAAAATAATAATATTTTTATAACATTTTATTATTTTTTATTTTAAATTTGAAAAAAAATGAATTATTCAAAAAGACACAAAATGCAATTATAAATAGTTAAAAATAAGATTACGCTAATTAAGTTTAAAAAAATTATATAAAAAAGGAATTGGATTAAAATAATAATATTTTTATATTTTAATTTTTTACTTAATTAGTAAAACTTATTTTTAACAATTTATTTATTAGTGCATTTTTACGTTTCTGTTGTTGTTTTTTTACCTGCTTTTTGTAAACCTCTGCAATACAGCACAGTGCTGCAAAGGCAAGGTGTACAAATAAATAAAAAATAAAAATTGGATTAAAATAAATATATTTTTATAACATTTTATTATTTTTTATTTTAAATTTGAAAAAAAAAGAATTATTCAAAAAGACACAAAATGCAATTATAAATAGTTAAAAATAAGATTACGCTAATTAAGTTTAAAAAAATTATATAAAAAAGGAATTGGATTAAAATAATAATATTTTTATATTTTAATTTTTTACTTAATTAGTAAAACTTATTTTTAACAATTTATTTATTAGTGCATTTTTACGTTTCTGTTGTTGTTTTTTTACCTGCTTTTTGTAAACCTCTGCAATACAGCACAGTGCTGCAAAGGCAAGGTGTACTCTGAATGCAATGCATGTGCTTTTGGAGAAATCTAGTTTTTTTTTATTAATTTCATCCAATTAATTTTTTAGTTTTAAAATACTGCAATACATACTGCAATATGATATATAAGAATGATGTTCTTGTTAATAATATGGCAGTTTATTCACTGCTGCAAATACTTTCTCCTCCAGAATGAAAACTGATTATTAATCAAAACATGGTTAGCAGCTGTGCGTCTGATTTGTGACTCAGTGAATCGCAGGGGTTCATCTCCTGGTTTCTCCACAGATGTGGACGAGTGTGTGGAGACTCCAGACGTCTGCGGATCTGCGCGCTGCTCAGACCTCGACGGGAGCTTCGCCTGCTTGTGTGAGGATGGGTTCGTCTATGACAACATCACCCAGAGCTGTGCAGGTGAGTCCAGCGAGACGAAGCTCGGAGCAGCAGAACCATTACAACACCAGTGTTTCCAGCAGCTAAAAGTGTGTTTAAGTCCGTTATGTCTATCTCCTGCTGTAGTGTGTCAGTGGGAAATATCAGTTTACATTTCCAAACAAACATTTAGCCATTAATTGTAATAATGCAGTGAGATATGTGTTTGTGCTGCACACAGAGTCTTTGTTGTCATTGCACATGCACAGTCCTTTCAGTTTCTGTTTTCAATTCTATCGAAATTTCATTCAGCTTGATCTCAGTCGGATCGATTCAGGTGTACGTGAAGGCTTTTCAGTCCGATTACGAACTGATTATTTGGTCGCATGTAAACGTATTTATACGTGTTATAAAAACTATCCTATTATAGTTTATATGAATTTTTTTAATTGTAGTTTAAGGTTTAGTCATTTTGTTGAGTGTTTTTTGTCATTTAAATTTTTTTAATAAATCTTTCAGTAAATATTAAATCAATAAATATTTTTTTAATAATTAATGAAAATTAGAAATGTTGCCTTTTTTTCTTTATTTCGGTTAACATTCATATTTTTATGGTTTTCATTTTAGTTTTAGAGTTAGTAATTTTGTTTTTTGTCATTTTTATTTTTACGTGTGTTTTATGTCTATATAGTTTCACTTCAGTTTTAGTTTTAGTTATTTTAAGTCATCGTGCTAAACTAAATGAAAATATGAAAAGTTGCCTTGGAAAATAATTTTTTAAAAAATGATTTCAGTTAGCATTATTTTATTTTAATATGACATTTTTATTTCTTCTGCTTTTAGTTTCAGCTAAGGAGGATAGCCCTGCTCTGTATCAGTCTGAAGGAGCGGAGATTTCTTCATAATGTTCCTCGTCTCAGTCTCAGCAGCACAGGACGTTTCCATCTCATTACATGATGCTCTTTTGGGAACATGACTTTTTTTGTGGCTCGTCACCTAGTCGTTACTGTAGAGAGGAAACTGCTTACATAACGCCTCGACAGATCCTCTTCAGTTCTTACACAGTCGACCGAGGAACATTCCTCCAGCTCGTTTGTGGTTCATCTTTTAGGATTCCCGTCATCAGTGTTACAATCATATTTCCACAGTGTATATTCTCATGTTTATCAGCACGCACCATTACATCCAAAACAAGAAATAAGATGATATAACGTGTGTGTTTCAGTCCAGGTCAGTCCCTGCTGACTCTGAAGCACACGCAGAGCAGGAGAAGAATCACTCTCAGATTAGGTTATAAATGCTGTGTTTCTAGATTAGTGAGAGCTGAAAGTGTTGATCTGGGCCTGTATTCACAAAACATCTTCAGGCTAAAAGTAGCTGATAGCTCGCCGATTTAGGAGAAAATCTTCAAAATAATGAGCGTGTCAGTCCTAAATGTAGGACTCCTAAATGTTTGCTCTAAGAGTGTTTCACGAAGTGTTTTCGCTCTAAAACTAGAGGAAGGTTAGGAGCAGTGAAGCCACAAACTATCCTAAAATAGCTGTTTCCAACAATCTGCCTCGGAACAAAACTTTTTTTTAGAAACATAATATCGCGCTTTAATATAGTTAATAAGCATGATGACTTCACCATAGCAACGAGCTCAGCCCCGCCCCCTCACTCTGAGCTTAAGACTTCTCTCTGTTCCTCAGTACAAGTTTGTCTCAGCAGCTTTGTGAAACTCTTTAACTTTGACTGCTATTTAGGAAAAATCTTTGTGATAAGATCAAATGTTTAGTGAATATGAGCCCTGATGCTGATGAATGAGAGTATTGAGTGTGTTTGAGCTCATGCTCCTGTTGTTCCGGTCAGACGTGGACGAGTGTGAGACGCACGTGTGTGAGGAGGAGTGTGTGAACACACCCGGAAGTTTCCGCTGCTACTGTGACGGACGGCAGGGGAAGAGACTGGGACAAGACTTCAGGAGCTGTGAGGTGATCACACACACACACACACACACACCTCACTCTCTCTCTCACACACACACACTCACACACACCCACAGACACACACCTCACTCTCTCTCACACATTCACTCACTCACTCCCACTCACTCACACACACACTCACACACTCACACACACACACTCACTCTCTCTCACACACACACACACTCACACACACACTCACACACACACACACACACTCTCACTCTCTCTCTCTCACACACACACACTCACACACACCCACAGACACACACCTCACTCTCTCTCACACATTCACTCACTCACTCCCACTCACTCACACACACACTCACACACTCACACACACACACTCACTCTCTCTCACACACACACACACTCACACACACACTCACACACACACACACACACTCTCACTCTCTCTCTCTCACACACACACACTCACACACACCCACAGACACACACCTCACTCTCTCTCACACATTCACTCACTCACTCCCACTCACTCACACACACACTCACACACTCACACACACACACTCACTCTCTCTCACACACACACACACTCACACACACACTCACACACACACACACACACTCTCACTCTCTCTCTCTCACACACACACACTCACACACACCCACAGACACACACCTCACTCTCTCTCACACATTCACTCACTCACTCCCACTCACTCACACACACACTCACACACTCACACACACACACTCACTCTCTCTCACACACACACACACTCACACACACACTCACACACACACACACACACTCTCACTCTCTCTCTCTCACACACACACACTCACACACACCCACAGACACACACCTCACTCTCTCTCACACATTCACTCACTCACTCCCACTCACTCACACACACACTCACACACTCACACACACACACTCACTCTCTCTCACACACACACACACTCACACACACACTCACACACACACACACACACTCTCACTCTCTCTCTCTCACACACACACACTCACACACACCCACAGACACACACCTCACTCTCTCTCACACATTCACTCACTCACTCCCACTCACTCACACACACACTCACACACTCACACACACACACTCACTCTCTCTCACACACACACACACTCACACACACACTCACACACACACACACACACTCTCACTCTCTCTCTCTCACACACACACACTCACACACACCCACAGACACACACCTCACTCTCTCTCACACATTCACTCACTCACTCCCACTCACTCACACACACACTCACACACTCACACACACACACTCACTCTCTCTCACACACACACACACTCACACACACACTCACACACACACACACACACTCTCACTCTCTCTCTCTCACACACACACACTCACACACACCCACAGACACACACCTCACTCTCTCTCACACATTCACTCACTCACTCCCACTCACTCACACACACACTCACACACTCACACACACACACTCACTCTCTCTCACACACACACACACTCACACACACACTCACACACACACACACACACTCTCACTCTCTCTCTCTCACACACACACACTCACACACACCCACAGACACACACCTCACTCTCTCTCACACATTCACTCACTCACTCCCACTCACTCACACACACACTCACACACTCACACACACACACTCACTCTCTCTCACACACACACACACTCACACACACACTCACACACACACACACACACTCTCACTCTCTCTCTCTCACACACACACACTCACACACACCCACAGACACACACCTCACTCTCTCTCACACATTCACTCACTCACTCCCACTCACTCACACACACACTCACACACTCACACACACACACTCACTCTCTCTCACACACACACACACTCACACACACACTCACACACACACACACACACTCTCACTCTCTCTCTCTCACACACACACACTCACACACACCCACAGACACACACCTCACTCTCTCTCACACATTCACTCACTCACTCCCACTCACTCACACACACACTCACACACTCACACACACACACTCACTCTCTCTCACACACACACACACTCACACACACACTCACACACACACACACACACTCTCACTCTCTCTCTCTCACACACACACACACAGTAGTTCTATCTAAGTGTTGTGTGAGTTGTTTATTTACTTTTTAAAATTAGTCTTCCCATTAACGTCATAATATTGTTCATTCAGACTGATTCACGAACACAAGAGGCGGGATTTATTACATGAACCAATCACAGCCGAACATAACCAGCCATATCCAAACATATCACGATGGAGGCATTGCCTCCTGTCATGTGACTTTCCCCCATTCGTTCTCAATTACCCCCAAAAGCTCATGGCACGCTGTGGGGGGGGGTCTGTTAAAACCCAATGGACTCAGGGGAGGCGTAACTTTACCCGCTGATGTCGCTGTAGGACAATGTTTCTTTAGAAAAACAAGTGAATTATACACTTTTTAATGTTATATTTTGTAATATGGGCATTTTTTTATTTTTGTGCTATGATGTTTATATATATGAATTTTGTGTTCAGTATGACTTTTTAATTTTTTTAAAGAAATTACTATTTTTATTCCGCAAGGACATATTAAATTGATCAAAAGTGACAGTAAAGACATTTATGTTGCAAATTAATAATGTAATATATTAATATTGAAGATCAGAATGATTTTTAAAGCTCAGCAGTTTCATATTTATTTTATATAACTACAAACCAATCATGTCAGACTGGACTGTCATCACTAATAATAACTAACTATAATAATAATTCTGTTCATTTATGATTCTAAAACACTGACTGGGTTAACTTTAGACTAGTGTTATTTTAGTATCATTGAGATACTGCTATACTTTTTATTTATATTTATATTTTATTCATATAATAATATAGATTTTTTTTTTATTCTACAGTTTTAGTATTTTGTTGCATGTTTTTAAAAGTTTTAGTAGTTTATATATATATATATATATATATATATTTTTTTTTTTTCAGTTTTAGTTATTTTAATACATCAGTTTAAACTGAATTAAAATTAGAAATGTTGTCTTGGAAAGTAGTTGAAGTAAAATGTTTTTTATTTGTATTTTATTTCGGTTAACTTTTATTTTATTTCAAGTAATACATTTTTTTTTTATGGTTTTAATTTTAGATTTAGTTAAGTAATAACCCTGCTTTAACTAACTAATAACTGGCAGTGAAAACTAATAAAATTATAAAAGCTATGTTGAGAATGTTTGGCTCATCCCCCTCTCTGTGTCTGAAGCCCATCGAGCTTCACCGGTCGCTGGACATGAGGAGAAACTCACGCTCGCTGTACCTCGGACGCATGTTCAGCGGGATTCCTGTGGTCCGACTGCGCTTCCGCCGCAGGGTTCAGACCGGGTGAGCACGCCTGCACTGTAATATCTTATTGGCTTTATTTTATTTATAGAGCACAATTAAAACAACACAATCTTATTTTGGTAAAATAATTAACATTTTCAGATTCTGAAAGGGGGGTGTAAACTTTTGACCTCAGCTGTAAGTGAATAAGCAGATAAAACAAGCATCACAGGAAAACACGAGAGCCGCTTTGTGAGATCAATCTGTTGAACCAAAAGCTCTCTCATTAGAGTTACTGTGACGTCTCGTTTGATGCTGACTTCCTCAGATTCACGGCAGAGTTTGACCTCAGGACCGTTCGGAAATACCATGCATTCTAGTCATTGTCTGTGTGAATTGCATTTAGTTTTTTAAATGAATGAATAAATCCAGGCATAAAAAAAAGCATCAGGTCATCTTCAGTGTTTCTGCATGTTTTAAAACGTCTTAACTTTCCCTTCCACAAATGAAGGCCTTAAAATGATCTTAAATTGAAGCAGAAAGTCTTAAACTCATAAAGTTGCATTAAATGTTGCATGAGGATGGTTTTAATGTAAATGTTTTAAAAAGTAATGCAGATCTGCTGAAAGTTGCATTCATAGCAACACTGTAACGCGTGCGTCATGAAATTAGACATTTGATCAGAAAACAAATTAACGTATTGTTCCCTTCAATTTATTCCTTAAATGTAAACATTTTAAAAAGGTATTTTAGAAAATCTAAAATGTACTTTTGATGCACGTTTTGATGAAACTGAATCAATCTGAATAATCACTCTATTGTCTTCTGTAGAGCTGCTTTGCAGCTGAAATTAAATTAGTTTCATAATTGACGAATTTTGCAAATGTTGCTTCCTGTTTGTTTCTGTAAAGCTACTTTGAATCGATTTGTATTGTATAAGGCACTATAGAAATAATCGTGTCTCCTGATTGGTCCGCTCAGATCTCGGTGGAGGAACAGGGGCGGAGCCTCGTCATCAAGATTGACAGGGAGGCGGTGATGAAGATCGCAGTGAACGGTCCTGGATTGTTCTGGTGATGCATCATGGGAAGCTGGAGCTGCAGCTGAAGTACGGAGCTGTGAGTCGAGTGACCAGCAGTGGACCGCAGGTCAACGACGGCCAGTGGCATAAGGTCAGAGGTCACTGCAGGGGTCACACTAATAACAGACACACCATTGAGACACAGAGCCGTTCATATATGTCACATTGAGCTCATGGGAGATGCAGGTTCGAGTTTGGCTTGAAACATTTTACAATCCTGTTCAGAATAATTAACTCTTGAAACTCTCTCTGATTTGTTTTCTCTCTATAATCTTTCTGATTTTTAAAAAAATCATTTCAGCCTTCCAAAGAGTCTTTCTCAGAACATTAACACCAGCTTACGAATTCATATCCCACGAAAATACCAAAAGTTCGAAAGTTTGTTCGGAAATACCATGCATTCTAGTCATTGTCTGTGTGAATTGCATTTAGTTTTTTAAATGAATGAATAAATCCAGGCATAAAAAAAAGCATCAGGTCATCTTCAGTGTTTCTGCATGTTTTAAAACGTCTTAACTTTCCCTTCCACAAATGAAGGCCTTAAAATGATCTTAAATTGAAGCAGAAAGTCTTAAACTCATAAAGTTGCATTAAATGTTGCATGAGGATGGTTTTAATGTAAATGTTTTAAAAAGTAATGCAGATCTGCTGAAAGTTGCATTCATAGCAACACTGTAACGCGTGCGTCATGAAATTAGACATTTGATCAGAAAACAAATTAACGTATTGTTCCCTTCAATTTATTCCTTAAATGTAAACATTTTAAAAAGGTATTTTAGAAAATCTAAAATGTACTTTTGATGCACGTTTTGATGAAACTGAATCAATCTGAATAATCACTCTATTGTCTTCTGTAGAGCTGCTTTGCAGCTGAAATTAAATTAGTTTCATAATTGACGAATTTTGCAAATGTTGCTTCCTGTTTGTTTCTGTAAAGCTACTTTGAATCGATTTGTATTGTATAAGGCACTATAGAAATAATCGTGTCTCCTGATTGGTCCGCTCAGATCTCGGTGGAGGAACAGGGGCGGAGCCTCGTCATCAAGATTGACAGGGAGGCGGTGATGAAGATCGCAGTGAACGGAGATCTGTTCACGCTGAATAAAGGCATGCATGAGCTCAACCTGACGGTGGGCGGCGTTCCCTTCAGAGACGACGGGATGGTCAGCAGGGTGAGCTTCAGCGTCATAATCTGACATGACAAAATAAATACATTAACTCGACTTTAACCGGAATTTTCCGGGTTTCCGTATTCTCGCGGTTATACGCTAGGGGGCGCTTTTGCGCATCTCCTGAATGAGTCTCGAGTCACTCGATCAAAAACACAGACCAGGAAGACGCAGAAACCAGCGCTCTCAGATGTAAGCGCATGCATATGAAAAATAATGCAATCATCAACACTAACAGCATATATAAATGAAAACTGCCTAATGTTAGCGAGTGAAATGTTGATCCAGAAAGACCTGTGCAAGCTTTGGGAGCGCTGATGGAAGCCATCTAATGCAGCTTTGCTTTGATAATATTACTGAATATGATCCAGACGTAGTGATTTTCTCAGCTTTTTGCTCAAAAATGAAACCTACCTACATTCATGTGTGGATAAAAAAGAATGCTCGAAGCTGGAATAAAACTGATTTTTTTGTTTAAATGTAGAGGGTCGGTTCTTTATTTTGATGTATTGCACGTTCAGATATTCATAAAACAGAATATTCTGTGGGCCATGAAATTTTAGTGGAAATCATCAAAATAAGCTGTCGGGGAAAGAGTTAAAGGATTAGTTCACTTCCAGAATAAAAATGTCCACAATAAGTGTTTTTCACCCTACTCTGAACTTTCTATTCATCAAAGAAACCTGAAAAAATTATACTCAACATAATAATCAGAAATGTTTCTCGAGCAGCAGATCAGCATATTATACTGATTTCTGAAGATCATGTGACACTGAAGACTGGAGGAATGATGCTGAAAATACAGCTGCACATCACAGAAATACATTACAGTTTAACACATATTCACATAGAATAAAAACTTGTTTCCCTTTGAATGAAGCTGATTTTTCTGAGCCCATTGGCAGTTATTTGTTCTCATTTTAATCATAAACTCCACTTCAGTTTCTCAGAAAACAACACTTATTATCTTAATTTTGCTTCTGCAGTAAATGTATCTTGCTTTAAGAATCTTTAGACATTTGCACTGGAATACGAGATAAAAAATACTGAGGAAGAACAGCACTTTTTTTGCAATGTGATTAGAAGGTACAGTAAGTTACTTGACCACATGAAGTTTTATTTAAATTTTTTGTACTGGAGATCTAGTTCAATTAATGGAGATCTATTGTAAATTGTATTTTGAAACTCTGAAGTGTTATTTACATTTAGAGATCATTATGTATTGTGTTCCCTTCAATTTATTCCTTAAACTCTCTTTACTTGGTCTTAAAAAGTCGTAAATTCACATGCAAATCTTCAGCTTGATTATTTGATTTTGTGAGAATATTTAGCTCATCTTCCTCTCTGTGTCTGAAGTCCATCAAGCTTCATCGGCCGCTGGACATGAGGAGGAACTCGCGCTCACTGTACCTCGGACGCATGTTTAGTGGGATTCCTGTGGTCCGGCTGCGCTTCCGCCGCAGGGTCCAGACCGGGTGAGCACGCATGATGGTTTTCAGGATTAGTACTGCAGCAGTAAGATCACTGTAACAGCCGATTTCATGTTGTGTTTGATACTGACTCCCTGTTTCCTCTCAGATTCATGGCAGAGTTTGACCTTAGGACCTACGACCCCGAAGGTGTGATCTTCTTTGCCGGCGGCCACTTGAACAGCTCCTGGATTGTTCTGGTGATGCATCATGGGAAGCTGGAGCTGCAGCTGAAATACGGAGCCGTGAGTCGAGTGACCAGCAGTGGACCGCAGGTCAATGATGGCCAGTGGCATAAGGTCAGAGGTCACTGCAGGGGTCACGCTAAACAACACACACGATTGAGACACAGAGCAGTTCACACATGACACATTGAGCTCATGTGAGATGCAGGTTTGAGTTTGGCTAGCACTGTGGTTCTCCCTTATTTTACGCATCTGATTCATTAGGAGAAAGCTCTGTGAACTGAACTGGGTGTGTCCCCAGGACCAGGATTAAGAACCACTGGGCTAGCAACATCTCACAATTCTATTCTCTCTTATTTTTAAAATTTTACAACATTAAAACTGTTATTTTCCTGTTTATTACTGTAAAGCTGCTTTGAAACGATCTGTGTTGTAAAAACTGCTATAGAAACAAATGCAACTCGACTCTCTCCTCATTGGTCCACTCAGATCTCAGTTGAGGAACAGGGGCGGAGCCTCATCATCAAGATTGACAGGGAGGCGGTGATGAAGATCGCAGTGAACGGAGATCTGTTCACGCTGAATAAAGGCATGCATGAGCTCAACCTGACGGTGGGCGGCGTTCCCTTCAGAGACGACGGGATGGTCAGCAGGGTGAGCTTCAGCGTCATAATCTGACATGACAAAATAAATACATTAACTCGACTTTAACCGGAATTTTCCGGGTTTCCGTATTCTCGCGGTTATACGCTAGGGGGCGCTTTTGCGCATCTCCTGAATGAGTCTCGAGTCACTCGATCAAAAACACAGACCAGGAAGACGCAGAAACCAGCGCTCTCAGATGTAAGCGCATGCATATGAAAAATAATGCAATCATCAACACTAACAGCATATATAAATGAAAACTGCCTAATGTTAGCGAGTGAAATGTTGATCCAGAAAGACCTGTGCAAGCTTTGGGAGCGCTGATGGAAGCCATCTAATGCAGCTTTGCTTTGATAATATTACTGAATATGATCCAGACGTAGTGATTTTCTCAGATTTTTGCTCAAAAATGAAACCTACCTACATTCATGTGTGGATAAAAAAGAATGCTCGAAGCTGGAATAAAACTGATTTTTTTGTTTAAATGTAGAGGGTCGGTTCTTTATTTTGATGTATTGCACGTTCAGATATTCATAAAACAGAATATTCTGTGGGCCATGAAATTTTAGTGGAAATCATCAAAATAAGCTGTCGGGGAAAGAGTTAAAGGATTAGTTCACTTCCAGAATAAAAATGTCCACAATAAGTGTTTTTCACCCTACTCTGAACTTTCTATTCATCAAAGAAACCTGAAAAAATTATACTCAACATAATAATCAGAAATGTTTCTCGAGCAGCAGATCAGCATATTATACTGATTTCTGAAGATCATGTGACACTGAAGACTGGAGGAATGATGCTGAAAATACAGCTGCACATCACAGAAATACATTACAGTTTAACACATATTCACATAGAAAGCAGTTGTTTTAAATAGTAAAAATATTTCACAATATTACTGCTTTTGCTGTACTTTGAATCAAATAAATGCAGGCTTGCTGAGCAGAAGAGGTTTCTTTAAAAACATTAAAAATCTTACTGTTCAAAAACATTTGCCTGGTCGTGTATGTTAGCCTAGTTAAAGATATTAATATTAATAAGGTGAGTCTGAGATGTTTATTTGACAGTGATTTCATATTCCTTGTTTGTATGAAGGCTAAATACAAATAAAAGTAGAACATTAATTTACTCGTGCCGTTTATATAGTTTTATAGGAGGAGGTTTCATAGACTTGGCAAATTCAGTTTGTATGCACAGACATCTGTTGTGAGACATCTGTTTATGAGGCTTTTTTAAATAGTGTTCATATCGATATCGGAATTATATCGTATCGACTGAAATTAAGATTTTGGCCATATCGTCCAACCCTAGGTTAACCCTCGACTGGACGGCTGTATGAAGGACTGGCGCTGGTTAACCGGTGAGGACACGTCTATTCAGGACACCGTCCAGCACAACGAGCGCATGCAGTGTTACGCCATCGAAGACCACAGCGCCTTCTACCCTGGACACGGATTCGCCTACTTCAACCACAGCCACGGTGTGCCACCATACATTATCTGTGTCCCTGCAGCACAAAAGCAGTGTTGAGTCGCTGGGGGATATTTGTAGCAATAGCCAA